ATTACCTCAAACGTGAAGTTGGCCAGCGAGACAATGGATTTACAAAGTTTGAGAAGCTGCACATCAGAAAGTTTCTTACGACTATGGTTCGCACGTCACACGAGAGTGAATTCACTCATTGCTTGGAGGCGCTAGAGGAGATATGTGCTGGGAAGGCCGGCTTTATGGAACACTTCAAAACGAATTGGCTATCATGCAAGGAGCGATGGTGTACGTTTCTTCTCGGCTATATACCTCATTTGGACAACAATACCATCGACAAGCTCGAAGCGAGCTGGGGTGCCGCCAAAGCCAAAGCACATGGCTATGGACGAGTGCATCAAAACAATGCATTTTCTGCAACAATCCGCTGATGGTACTTACAAGTTTTAAACGAAACGGGTTGGAATTCTCGCTAACAGCAAGTACGATGACGAGATGAAGCTGCTTGTTCGCATTGCCACGCATCACGTATGTGACTTAGTAGAGGACCAATACAAAGCAAGCACGAAAGGAGACTTCAACTGCTGGCTTGACCACCTGAAAGTCCTTGAACGCAGGGCTAGAGAAAATCTTCCTTTGAGCAGAAGCCAAGATTCCAGATCAGTGGAAATGCTGGGTCAACGTGAAGATTCTAATCTAGACGATCACAGGCTCGATGAAACGTTGCCACAAGTTCTCAATTTCCCACCAGAAGCACTGAGCGTAAGGTTGATTTGGGTGGCAGCGACCCCAATACCAGTGCCATCGCATGCTCCGTCGAAAACCCAAGAGTGCTACCAGTTATACGTGGTGAGGAAATGCATGAGAGCAATCAAAAACCTGATAATTCGTGCAGAAGCTGACAAGACACCAGTCACCAACGCAGACATTGCTGTAGCGATCTTGAATGTGGATACATTTCGTGCTGAAGAAATCCAGATTATGAGCGATTGGCACAAAAGCTCAAAACTTGTTGCCAAGACAAGATCCTTGATATCATGGGTCAAAAGTGTTGAACCTGATAACCCAGACGAGGTAGAAGAACGTGCTCAAATTTTGAAAGATATCGCGTTATGGGCACGTGAAGCTCTATCAATCCAGGCGGGCAATGTGTCGGATTTGCAGAAATCGCTCGATTTTGTGACCAAGGTTGGTTAAATGACAAATGTATGGTTGCTACAGCAACTCGTACCGCTGCAGAGGCGACATGGAGTCCACCACCGAAGGTAACGTTGCCAACCCCACGTTTGCTACATTAAAGTATGAAGAACAACGAAACAGGATCGTTGATACAAATGACTTCATTTTCAGCGAATGTGACGAGGGCACGGTGATACTATGCCTAATCCACATTAATGTCGACGTCACCCACTGGTGAGGAACGGTATTTGACATGAAGAGGAGGTTAGTGGGGATATATGACCCCTTTCACAAACAAGACTACAAAGCCAAAGTGACCACGTTGATCGAGAACGTGTACCTCTCCCCAAAAATACTAACTATCAATTGGCGTGGCGCCAGCGCGATGGATTTTAACTGTGGCGTGTATGTTGCGCATTGGTTTGATCGTTACTTATCCATGATCTGTCGTTTGCAGATGCGGTGACAACCAATATCAAGACTCTTTCCGAAACAGAGCTGGAGAAAGTTCGCTACA